GGAATAGGATATCGGCCGCCATGCACGACGCAGATACATCTGCTTGTGGCACTGTCAATTGTCCCCGCACCAATCATTGGATATCCGAGAGGTCAATAAACCTGTTGGAATCCAGAAGAAACCTCCTGGCTGGCTCTGAGCACAATGTGACCAGACGGGCTATTAGGCGGGAACTAAAGCAGAGCCTACGTGCTGACAAGGAAGCCTGGTGGACCAGTAGGGCTCTAGGAATGGAGGAGGCAGGAGCATTAGGCAATTACCGCAAGCTCTTCCAGCTGATCTTCACCACTGGTCCCAGGAAACCAGACGTCAGTGGACACTCAGAGACAGCGCAGATGCACTGGTACACAATAAGGAGCGCCGTATGGCTCGTTGGGCGGAGCATTTTCATGATCAGTTCAGCTAGGCCCCTGTTCCCAGACCACTTACTACTCAGGTGATGCAGAACGAGTCATGGACGGTTAGTTCAGAGAATCCATCGGAGGCCGAGGTCCGAAACGCAATCGCAGCCCTCAATCGTTTTCTTGCCGCTGGCCCGGATTCCCTCCCACGTGCACTATTTAAGGATGGTGGTGAGGTCCTCTGCAATACACTGACCTCCCTATTCGAACGTATTGGGAAGGAAGAGCGTGTCCCGGCTAATTGGAATAAATCGATTATAGTGGCAATATACAAGAAGGGCAGTCGCACAGACTGTTCTAACCACAGGGGTATTAGCCTAAAGTCAATTGTGACAAAATTAATAGTTTCGATTCTCGTTCATCGCCTCACTGTGGAACGGGAATCTCGGATTAGGGCAGAGCAGGCCGGTTTCCGCCTAGGACGTGGCTGTATAAATCATATATTCACTTTGAGGCATGTGCTAGATCAGCGCCACGCATACCGCAGACCGACCATAGCTGTGTTCCTCGATTTCAAGAGTGCATTCGATTCAGTCGATTGATCGATTCTGTTCGAAATACTTACGCGGAAAGGTGTTCCAACGAAATATGGGAACATGCTACGGGATCTATACTCGAACACTACTGGGGGCGTCAAGGTCTGCGGTGTCCTATCGGATTGCTTTCCATTGACAAGTGGCCTTCGTCAGGGTTGTTCGACTTCCTCGTTTTTGTTCAAGTTCGTCGTGGATTCGATCATGGAGTGTTCCCGTTGCGGAATCTCGCGATGTAGGCGCTGAGGTCCTGCATGGTGTAAGGTTAGTTGATCTAAATTATGCGGACGATATCGTCTTGCTTTTCGACGATGTTGCGGCAGCACAATTAACCCTGAATAGCTTGTCTAGGGTGGTCCCATTATTTGGTGTGTACTTCACTCTTTCAAAGTGCAAAGTGTTGCTGCAGGACCACCAGCCACTTGATGACCACTTGACCCTTGATAACGAGGAACTCGTTCATGTCTCTTGGCAGCTGCATCAGCAACGATGGGTGCATGAAAACTGACGTCAGCTCACGCATTGCAAAGGTCAAAGCTGCCTTCTTGAACCTGCGTCATCTTTGGCGACAGAAGAGAGTTTCGCTCCCTCTGAAAAGCCACAGAGAAGGCCGTCTTGCTCTATGGTAGTGAGACTTGGCCCCTTCGGTCTGAAGATTTAAGGCGCTTTCGAGTCTTTGATCATCGTTGTCTGCGAAGCATTGCTGGTGTCGGATGGCGCCAGTGTGTCCGCAACGATGATGTGCGTAGTCGAATACTAGGTCGTGCTAATCATGCTAGCTCCCTGGAACAACAGATAGCACTGAATAAGTTGCGTTGGCTCGAACACGTGCTACGCATGCCTGGTCACCGCTTACCTAGGAGGGCCTAGTTTAATCTTCAAGGTGTAGGTTGGCGCAAGGATCCAGATGGGCAGAAGTTGACTTGGCAGCGTGAAATGAAGTCACTGACAACCACACTGTGCCGTTTGTCCGTCTCGCCTTCCGGGCTGAAGTCCACGTGACCCGCCTTGTGCTTGGCTCCAGACCCGTTCAGTCACAGCCGCAAGGAAGCTGTCTCGCCGATGCCGCCTTATCTTAGCATGATAGCCAGCTGTTTGTGATGGTATCTTGTTGACAAGGTGTAGGCGTCTTGACCCATAATGTTTGCTTAAGGCATTAAGGTTTTCAGGTAAGTATCCCTTCTCTCCCTCTTATTATTCTTTATTTTATAGGTCATCAAGAGTGCATGGCTGCGAAGCATTAGTTCAAATGACCGATATACTGCTGATATTGATTGATTGATTGACAGGATAATAAACGGCGCTCCATCTGCTGCGTCGAGCGAGGTTGATAGGGTTCTTGATGCTACTGCTTAGGCCTTCCCATCTTCTTATTCTCCCTCTTGCGCTTTTTCATCCTTATCGTCCCATTCTAACTCCATTTTTATCCATCCGTTTTCAATCCTTCAACTCTTTGCCCTGCCCATTCTCGCTTTATTAGTTGCATGTCTTTTAGTTTCTACTCAGAATCGCTTGGCGTCGCTCCCGTCCGGTCGACAAGTCCATGTTCAACCAACCGGCTATTCCTACTTGATGCCTTCAACGCGCGTGTTGGGCGCGAACCGGTCCGTAGCCTTTAGGATCCCAGACTTGTCTTGTAATCCGAGAGCGCGGGTTCGAACTCGTGAATTGACCGGGTGGGCCTCACAGTATCCTTAGCCCATCTGTGACTGGTGGTGGTGTCGCGACAGCGAAGCATCGGTGCTGCGTACCGTCGTACTGTTGATGCCTTTTTGCCTGCTGTATTGATGTTGGGTTAATGAACATCTTTCGCTTCGGGGCAAGTACCCTGGCGTGTGATCCAACCACCATTATGTTGCTGTTTGTCGACGACTGTGCGTTGTCTGCACACTGCGCGGATGATTTGCAGCACATAACTCCGGGTCCCGCTTCGACAATGGCCAATTTCTGGACCACCATCAACACAAGCAAGACTGTTTGTGTTTTCCAACCTTCGCCAGGAGTGGAGCCTATGCGCCTGCCCCAAATCCAGGTTGCTGATGACGTATTGGAGACAGAATCGAAATTTTGATTTCTTGGGAGCGTAATAACAACCGACTTGTAGATGACGAGCGAGCTGCATGCCCGCGTATTGAAAGCGGCTGCCGCGTTTGGAAAGCTGCTAAACTTGTGTGGAACAATCACCGGCTTACTGTTGGGAAGAAGGTGATGGTGTACAACTCTATGATGCTGTCCGTTCTCTATACGGCAGCAAGACTTGGACGATGTACCGGAAGGATGTCCGGTATTTGGAGCGATTTCAACAATAATACCTGCGTCGTATTCTGCGCATCGGCCGGGGTGACCTTGTTGCTGACACGCAGTTGCTCCGCAGCAATGACATGTTTGCAGTGGACTGTATACTTCTGCTGCGGTACATATGGTGGTTCTGGTATTTTTGCCGCATGAATTCGACGCGGATTCCTGAGCAGCTATTATATGAATAACTTAAGGAAGGGGAGCGATACGTAGGGAACACCGAATTTGCATTACCAGGACATGATCAAGATGAGTTTATCACGTACTAATGTTTATTTCAGATGTTGGGAAAGGCAGTTAATCAGCACCAACAACGTGAACTTTTCAGAGGGCGGTTGCCCAGGTGCATCAGAAATTACTGTTGGCTCTCCTTCTCCGAATCGGTCTGGTCCGCCACATGTGCAGCGAATACCGCATTCTTCCCCACGTATGCGCTAGTGCTCGCACCGTTGTCATCAAACCAATGTAGCAGCTTGCAGTTTTCGCGCCCAGTGGTTTCCACAGACGAGGATGTCATCTATTTACGGAGTATGCACCACAAAGCCTCGATTAATGCGATACAGTCGTCATCGTCAAGACACGTGGCCATCGCCATCTCCAGTTCCGTCTTCTTGTAAAAATTAAAGGCCAGCAACATAGTGCTTACATTGTTACAGATTGACGGTAATGCTTCCCACTCTTGGGAGACCCTTTCTGTAACCATGTGCATTGAATATGGTTGTGCCCCGTTGCGCTGCCGGTGTTTTTGGACCTTTGCCGAGAGACACAGGGGGTGATTCCTCTTCTTCTTGACTGAGAAACCGTCTCAGCTCGCAGTTGGACATGCGTAACAGTATACCTTGCGTATTTAGCTTTCACTGATTTGTTTTTCAGGACAGTTTCAGTGATGTAGTATCTTCGCTGCCGTTGACAACGTGGGCATTTTGACCGGCGGCATTATCAGTCATGGACGCATCAGACGTAGTATATCCGAAAGGTTGCTGAGCCTCATGGTGGACCTCAACATTAATAATAATAATAATGAATAATGTGTCAGCTGTACGCCGTAACGGCGCTTCGCTGCCGCGCGACTACCACCAGTCGCGCGCGGGCTGAGTATACGGCGAGGGTGCCCACCCCTACGCGGATTCGAACCGGTGACCTCATGGTTGCAAAGCAAACGTGCAGACTACTCGGCCACCGGCCGACATTGGTCAAATGCCTTTTACATACGGCGCCTCCGTATGTATCCCGTTGTTTCCGACCATTGGATCTCCCAGTCTTCGATGCTATTATGGTCGGAAGTAATGTTGCAAGAGTAGCAAGTAATTTGACAGATATGACATCCATAGTTTAATTCAGGGGCATCTGAGTTGACCGTCAAGAATGACAGTTTTGTGGCGGTTCAGCCATTCCGGAGGTATATGCACTCACCGTGCGGCAAACTTAAATTTTTTCTTTGGAACGAGCATGATGCATTTAATTACATTTTTCTTATTCCTTTACTAGTTGGAGTATTCGGTTCCTTCTTCCTCTCGGACACTAGCTCCCTTTGACTTGCTTCTTTGTTGTTCATTACTATTGCATTAACGTTGTCTGTTTTTTATATGCTTTTTGCTATATTAGCCAAGATGACTCCATTCCCCCACTACCTCAGCTTAGCTGTGAAGTGCATTTTAATCTTCATATAGCAGCCAAGGTTGCCATCCTCTCACAAACTTGCTTTTTCTTTCAGTGACTTACTTTTCCACAATTGCTCCTGCTTATTTCTTTATTTTTCTCTTTATAGATTGTTATAAATGTCGTCCGGGTATCTGACTATAGACGAACTGGATAGGCTTTATGAAAACCGTTATTCTTCTGCAGATCCCGACTACATGACTTATTGTAAGATACCGGCCCCTCCTCCTCCTGTGATCCCTAATTGGAACCCTCGCAGAACCGACGACCAACGCAACCGGCGTAATCATAGAATCGGTTATCGTCCCGGTCCGGTACGAATGTCATGTTATTTATTGCTTATTTTTCAGAACCGTAGCTCTGGTCCTAAAAGTTCTCCTTGATCAATTCACTATATGGGACATGTGCATTGTCCTACTTAGTAGTCTTTTTCTGTCAAATGAATCCGTTTAACGCAGTGCCGTGTCATCATTGTGGACAGCAGCTTCGTACTGGTACTTTGTTGCGAACACTCAGGGTTAATATCACTGAGCGTTGTAAATGATGTCGTCTAATTTCATGCAAACGCGAAATAGGAAAACGGTCTCCCTGTCCGTAGATGAGCATGATTCCGTCGAACCTGTAGGCAACGGGAATCTAATATGATAGCAAACTGAACTTGAGCACCAAAAAGGGGTGGTGGTTCGGGGTAAAAGGTTGTGCGGCACAAATTCAAAACCCTAGATATCAATTAAAGCGAAGAATAGATTGTAAAACTGATGTGAATGACAAGGCAAAGTGTTGAGATTAGTGGGGGCTTTACAGCAACCAACCTTGTGAAGAAAACGGTATTAAGACAGTCCACATGAAATAATGGAACCCATCTGTCGAAGAAGTAGGTGGCTACTGCTAAAAGTCACAGGAATAGACCGTAAGTTAATGGGTGTGAGAGTAATTCGGAATATCGCGAACGAAAATAATCTGAGCATAGTTTATGTGGACGGTGAGTGGAACATGTAAGAAGAAACTTTACGAGGACATTTGGTATAGGGTTCATCCCGCTTGCATTTTTTGGACTACTGCGACCGATACGCAGTGCGGCTTCTTGCATAAGTCGAAGAGCATAGGGCATCTCCTCAGTGGGCACCGGTCGCACGAAATTTGGATTTGGATCCCATAAGGAACGAGGACCATGTGTGTCTGATACAAGGGGTTAAGACAAAACATTCGGCCAGAACTCAATAGAACCCCAAATCTGGTCGTACTTGGACACCTAAGCAGTTTATCATCCTCAATCCAGGGCAGTTGCTGAACATGATGATAACTCAATCTACGACTTTGGCAGTTATTCAGTGCGGCTTTAGAACCAGAACGACGTTTTGGAGGGCTTCTTGTATACGGAAAATGGTGGTACAACTCGGGCGTAGTATGTTGCATAATATAGCTATCGACTCCATCTTCAGATGCGCGTACGTTTAATGGACTGGCGGATGGGACCGTTTATGCACATCCGTAGGTAAACTTCCAAAAATTATGGAATCGTCCATTGCATCTGTAACAGTGGCATCATCATGGTTCTGAATTTTAGACTGAGTACAGAGCTGCGAAGCATACGCTGCGTCCGGATTTCCTTCTACGCTTTTGGAAGAGCGACCTGCCGAGTAGAGTCAGTGCTCTCACAGCTCAGTCATATTTCGGTGATCAACATGAAACCACGCGGATCGGAAGCATGACGATGTCTATGTTGGACCAGCTTACTTGCAAGGCATTGTGCGTTTGCGTATAGGCAAAGCAATTCATCGCTTACCGAGAGTGGATGTTGAATAAAGATTGGAAGCTGCGCCGGAGCAACGCTGAGCTCTGTTTGTTTGTAACTACCGCTTGTGTTTTTGGCGCCGTCAGAGACCTCTCACCACGGACACGTAGAGCTAATACGCAATGCTACGGGTTGGCTGTATTTATGGTTGCAAGGGGATTTGAGTGTACAAGTAGATCATCAAAGCTCAGCTAGGTACCATGTTTGTGTTCATTTCCTGCCACATAGACTATGGGGACTGTTCGAAGTTTCCATGTAGGTACGATGGATACCGATGTAACGATTGACATTCTGCGCTGCTGGTCAGCGATTACATCGTTACAGATTGCGAGTAATACTGTTTCCCTTTGAGTGTCACGCCATTCTAACCATGTGCATTGAATATGGTGGTGCCCCGTTGCACTGCCGGTGTTCTTGGACCTTTGCCGAGAGACACAGCGGGTGATTCCTCTTCTTCTTGACTGAGAAATCGTCTCAGCCCGCAGTTGAACATGCGTACCAATCCACATTGTGCATTTGGCTTTCACTGAATTGTTCGCAGAGTAGTTTCAGTAGAATAGTATCTCCGCTGCCGTTGACAACGTATTTATTTCGACCGGTGGCATTATCAGTCGTGGACGCATCGGGCGTAGTATGTACGAAAGGTTGATGAGCCTCGTGGTCGACTTCAGCATTGGTCACATGCCTTTTACATCCGTCGCCCCCGTATTTATCCCGTAGTTTCTAATTACTGGTTCCCCGTTCTCTGGTGCAATAATGGTCGGGAGTGATGTTGAAGGCGTAGCAAGTAGTCTGAAAAATGTGACATCCATATTTCGATCCGAATGCGTTCGTTCTCTTAGAGCCTTTCCTCACCCATATTTTAACTGCGAACGTGTTCTTTGGCTTCCATTCACTATTTTTTCCCGGTGGATTGTCTGGCCTCCACGGTCATCTCACGAGGTTGCACGTGCCGTGATCTGACCGGGTAAGATGGAAAATTCCGTCAGCGCTGTGTCATTGGGCCATGATATGTGCTCCCCAAGAAGCTGGTCAGGGAATCTACGTTTGGGTATTTGTGATAATAGTTGGAAGCTGCTTGGTGACGACACGTATCAACTCTTGCTGCCGACTTTGCTTTATTATCTTCCATTTCCTGTCTTTCTTGTTTTCTTCACATGCTCTGTGTGATACTGATTTCGAGTGCAGGAAATGCTGCGTAACTGTATCCAATTGAAGGTCCCTTTATATCAGAAATATCCGAAGATGTAAATCGCGAATTGACTCTGTCATTTCGCACCAGCTCCTCTATCACTATCAAGCAAAAATTATAGATTTACCGAACGCGGTCATATGAGCTCAATAGCTAACTAATCGTCGCACCTCGCTCTATCACACAAAGTTCAGTTTCACAGTCACCTGCTTCTACACACAGAGCAGTGGTCGTTCTTGATCGATCACAATAGCCTGAGAATGTTGTTCCTCTGATTGTGCATCAGGATGGCAAATGACTCACCGGGATTGGCTGTTGGTCAGTGCACGACAAATGCTTTATAATTGTCGAGGTAGCTCGATTTCTCAGTTCGCCCGATTCCGCCGTCACCGTTTGCAAAACCAATTCTTAATGTTTTCACTGATCCTTGCACCTAAGCTACGGTCAGTGTGCCCGACATAGTTGTTTCCACAGCTACAGGTGAATCTGTGTAAGTAATTGAATATGCACTGCCTCATTATTGTTGTCATGCTGGAGCACGTATGCGTAGGTCTTATTGGCTTGGGCAACTGTTTTTTAGCTGCATTTTCTGCCCTTCTCACTGAAACACTAATGTCTTTCGCGATAGTTTCATAATATGATCATCTCTAAATAGCTGTTCGGTATAGATGGGCTTCTTTTGGACTTGCTTTACGATGTTGCTGAGGCGCTTTATAAACAGCAACGGATAACCGTTCGATTGTGGTATATCGAGACGCCGAACACATTCATTGCTCACACGGTGCTCCCACCAGACATGAGCTAAGCTGCTAAGACAGCGATGATCAAAAATGACTATCCACTTTATGTCTCTCGACCTGATGGGCCAGGTTTCACAACCGTGTGAGAGGGTTGAACGGACGGCTGCATTATAAACTATGCATTTCGCCGCTGGAGTGATGTCGCGGCGACGCCATAGGTGGCGGATATTGGCAAAAGCATCTCGAGCTTTTGCTATACACGCTTGCGTCTCTAGCAGCTCTGGCCGTCGCAGAGGATAATAAACGGCGCTCTATCTGCTGTATTGAGCAAGGTGATTAGGGTTCTGCATGCTACTGCTCAGGCCTTCCCGTCTTCTTATTCGCCCTCACGCTTTTTCATCCTTGTTCTCTCGCGTCAATTGACTCCGTCCAGCTACTCCGTGCGATTAGTAAATTCGTTATGCACAATCGCTGTCGACGGAAGCCTTGCTGGTCGGGAATAATAATGGTACAGTTTTCCAGACAGCACACCGGCGTATCGACATCGATGGATCCCATGATTCTGGGCAATATAGGGTGAAGAGATACTGGGCGATAGTTTGAAGGCCCCGTTCTGCTTCCGCCTATTTGAATCGAAGTACTTATTCCAAGCTTCCACATAACGGGAACCTGGTTCTGATTTAAGCGGCGCTGAAAAAGCTGATCCAAAGGTTCTGTCAGATGTTTTGCTGCTGCTCCCAATGCCTCTGAACAAATAGTATCGGCGCCCGGGAGTATGTGGTTTCGCATTAACGTAGCTTTTGCAAATTATTCTCAACAGCAAAAGAGATGTTAATGAGTCCTGGCTGCGGGGTGACAAGATCTGGAACCTTACTTGTTGGACACCCTCTGAAACGTGTTGGGGCATATTGCGTCCGCAGCGTATTTGTTGAGCCATCAGCCGTTAGGATTGGTGAAATTCCCTGCTTCACCTTACGACGACCATTGACATACCCATACAGCAGTTTATGGTTATCGCTGAAAGTTTTCACCATGTTCTGCTGATATGCAGTTTTATCCTCTCTGAGCAGTTGAGTGCAGTTAGTACGTCGTACTACGTAGTTGACCCAAGCATCTGGCGTTGGAGCTAATCTATACATTTGCCATGCTGCGTTGCGTACTAATATCCATTTCACGTTCTACTCCTTACGAAAGCAATTGATTTAGACACGTTGTAAACTCTTGTCTCTGAAGCATCTGTTATCAGCCGACTGAATTTGTTGATGAACTCCTGCCAGGTGACTTCCTGGGGTTTTTCCAACAACGAACAACCAGGTTTTGCCGCTGACGAGCTGGGCTAATCGATCGTAGCGTGTGACAGTTTGCACCGTCCCCTAGTTCTCATTCCGATATTCAACATAGCAGACGAAGTTGTAATTACTGACTGCATGATCGCTGCGACCCAACGCGCAGTCTACACCCAACCCATCAATCATATGCTCCTCGGTGATGGGCACAAGATCTAGCACAGATGGTTTGTTACCTGTTCCAAATCCAGTGGGCAATGTGACATGGTTGTAAAGCAGAACAGTGGTATCGAGCTGCTGCAGACCAGCTTTGCGTGATTCTCTGATTGTTGCAGAGTTTTCTAAACAATGTGTGTT